ACCACGTCGTCTGTAATGTAAATGTTATGAGGATAACATCACCGCTAACAAACACTGATTAACAACAGCGGGAACTGATGCAGTATTGCGTGTACAATGCCTGTCTTCATGCCGACTGCTGAGCTGAAATTCTGCTGCAAGATTGTTAGTGTTGGCACAACTGGCAGATGTCTTATGCATTTACTTTGTGCAGTAAAGCTTCAAGATTTGACCGGGACTGACAAGTTTTTCACTACTTTTCAAATGGGACATTGAAGGACATTTTGTGTGAGTTCAACTAGCACAGGAATGGAGCAGTATTGGGGCGACTCTTCTTCAGTGAAGCTGGAACCTCGACTAGCAACTAGCATTGTGGTGGCACTGTGGTTAGATCATCTGCCACTTAGCACAGTGATGTTAGATTAAAACTCAAGTAAGATAGAGGGTTTAAAATGTATGTAACAGTAACTCATACATAATAAACAGACAATATATTGATCAACATTCCAAGAGGGAGGGAGTTGCCATAGAGCAGCAGCTAGCCACTCTCCTGTGGATCTAAAGGTCATGGATTCAGCTTCTGACTGAGCCGGACGTTTTTTCCTTTAGAAATTACCCTGGATCTCAGGTCGACCCAGCCTTAAATGGGAAGTAAAGTTTGCTGGCGCAATGTTGATCGGTCGAGTACCGACTGGCCTATAACGTATAGGTCTAGCCCTAAATTCCCAATTTGTCTGAAGGCATAAATCCCTTTTTAACTGGCGACAACTAACATATTCTCTATTTGTTTATCATATACTGTGTTACATCCTTAACGGTTCTCTGTGTTATTCCTGAGTATGTTATACAAGGAACCCCCCCCCCCCAAAAAAAAAACCTCTCCTTCTTCTTCTTTTGTTTGTTTCTTTTTTCTACAAGTTCTGCTTCTGCTGCAGCTGCTACTACTATTCTTCTTCTTCTTCTTTAAACTTCTTATACTTCCTCTTCTTCTGTTTCTTCCATCTCTACCTGATGGGTTTTAAAAGAAGTGTTATGGCTTTTAATGTGGCCAAAATATTTTAATGGCCAGTTTACATTTTCTTTCACACTCTCTTCAGAACCTCTGCATTTTATTATTTTTCTGTCTATGAAATATAACCTATTTTTCTGTCTGTGAAATATGACCTATTTTTCTGTCTGTGAAATATGACCTATTTTTCTGTCTATATAACATATTTTCTGTCTATGAAATATGATACATTTTTCTGTCTGTGAAATATGATACATTTTTTCTGTCTGTGAAATATGACCTATTTTTCTGTCTATGATATATTACCTATTTTTCTATCTATGAAATATGATACATTTTTCTGTCTGTGAAATATGACCTTTTTTTCTGTCTATGAAATATGATGCATTTTTTCTTTCTGTGAAATATGATCTATTTTTCTGTCTATGATATATGACCTATTTTTTGTCTATGAAATATGATACATTTTTTCATTCAGTGAAATATGACCTATTTTTCTGTCTATGCTATATGACCTATTTATCTGTCTATGAAATATGATAAATTTTTCTGTCTGTGAAATATGACCTATTTTTCTGTCTATCTTCTTCTTCGGCGATCTCTGGTCATGCGCATAATCCACTGTGGGTCATAAACTGGCATGTCTTTTCAAGGTCTCTTAGGTTTCCCCAAAGCTTAGTTGTCAGTTCTACTGGGTGTTGCCATATGTCACCCGCAGCTCCGCCAGGAGAGGACAGTCTTGCAGGACATGTTCTGAAGTCTGTTCAGCACAAAGGCACTGGCAGAAAGCTGTTTGGCTCATACCTAATTTATGTGAGTGTTTATTAAGTCTGCAGTGTCCAGTGCGTAAGCGAAAAACTGTGACTTGGTCTGTTCTGTTACCGCCTTCCTTTGCTAAAGCATCTGCGCTTTCATTGCCTTTGATGCCACAGTGAGACGGAATCCACTGCAAGTGAATTTCTGCCTTATTTGACAACATAGCAAGTTCCTGTGTTAGACTTTGTAGTGTGCTGTCGGTAGGTTTGAACTCAAGGGCCTGTACAGCTGACAGTGAGTCAGTGAGAAAAACTATATTGCCTGCGGTGATTTGCAGATTGTTCATATACTGTGCTGCCATCAATAGAGCTGAGAGTTCTGCCTTGTAGTTATAGCAAGTTCGTCTGGTGGGGGCTGCTAGGGACACAGTAGTGGCATCTGGGTGTTTTATGTAAACACCTGCCCCACCATTCGTAGTTTCCTCCTTTGCTGATCCATCCGTGTAGATTCTCGTCCAGCTGTCCTGTGGGAACATGTTGTTGAGGTGTTTCGTTGTGAGCGCTTTCTTCACTAAAGCGGGCTCAGCATCTTTGTTTGTTTCCCAGGTTCGGGATGGATGTTGACACATTGAGTGTCAATAATTCGGAGTTTCTGTCTATGATATATGACCTATTTTCTGTCCATGAAATATGATACATTTTTCTGTTATGAAATATAACCTATTTTTCTGTCTATGATTTACAATCTATTTTCTGTCTGAAATATGACCTGTTTTTTTCTCTATCATCTCATCTCCTAAGACCCCATCTGACTTTTAAATTATTTTTCTTCTCCTTAGCATTCACTGGCTGTAAACTCCAGTGGGAAGTTCTAGTAGCTCAGCCACTTGTGAACTTTGGTCTTGTTTCAGAATTTGAGTTTTGTGTGCGCACATCCGTTTTACAGATTCAGCTTACTTGTATGCAGACTGCTGCCTCCTGCCAAAGGCAGATGCATTCCGGGTTTGAAGGAAGCATACTTCAATTAGTCGCCTAATACAAAATGCTATATGAGGGGTAGGGGGATGGGGGGCAGATGGTCTGTTCTTCTTCCATCAAAATGGAGGCCTAGGACCCCAGAGATTTGCATTTGTAAAACGTGAACAATTCACTGACAACACAGAACACAAAATAAATGTCGCAACTTAACCAAGCATGACAACAATGACCCAAATGTGTGAGCAAATATCTTTTGATATTTCAAAAGCTTTTCTCGCTGGAAAAGGATCAGATGCACATCAAACAACAAGAAAACAGATTCACTCGTGTTTAAAAAAAAAAAAGGAACACACTCATAAGAAATGAAAATAAATAAATTCACTATTATTTGAAGAAAAAAATAACAATTAAAATAAAAAAGACATGAAAGTATATTCACTATAAAAAAAAAAAAAAAATAAAAGACATCGATAAAAAATTAAATTAACCCAGATTTTTGCATAATCCCCTAGTCTTCATCTTCTTTGCGTTCACTGGCTGTAAACTCTGGCGGAAAGTTCTGGTTATGTGTCCACCTCTGGACTTTAGTCTTGTTCCAGAACTTCAGTGTTGCATGGACATCCGTTTAACAGATCTGACTTAACTGTATGCAGACTGTTGGTTCCTTGCCTCTCAGGCAGATGTATTTTGACTTCGAAGGAAGCTACAAATTAGTCAACTCTTACGCATGCTTTTTGGGAAGGCCGTGGACCTATTCTTGTTTCCCCCCACAATGGGTCCCGGGAACCCACACAGGATCCCTTAGTCTGATATCTGATCTAAACTATGCCAAGCAGTCCAGATTTGTATCTATGTGTCTTCCCATCAGCCATTTCCTCATCTTGTCTGCCAGTTTTCAAGTCAATTTCTCTTCATATGTCCTACAAACTTTGTTCTCCACATCCAACTGATTCAATTTCTCTTCACATGTTCTACAAACTTTGATCTCTACATCCAACTGATCCAACTTTTCTTCACATGTTCTACAAACTTTGATCTCTACATCCAACTGATCCAACTTCTCTTCACATGTTCTACAAACTTTGATCTCTACATCCAACTGATCCAACTTCTCTTCACATGTTCTACAAACTTTTATCTCTACATCCAACTTATCCAATTTCTCTTCACATGTTCTACAAACTTTGATCTCTACATCCAACTGATCCATTTGTAACTGCTTCTTGAGTGACTGCCTCTCTATTCTGCCAGTTTTATTATTTGCAATCTACTCACAAACAAGATTTTTGCTGCTTTCAAATATTTCTTGGCTTGCCTACATAATTTCCTAGTTTAACAGTAGTACAATAGCAAAACTTTATATTCCACAAGTGATTCCAAAGCCAATTTTAGGAATTATGTGAAAAGGAAAGGGAGGGTCCCTAACAAATAAATTAGGAAAGGCGATTAATTGAGCTAATTAAGAGCCTGTTGAAATCAGATTATTTTATAATGACCGACATAACTGCACATTGGGCATTCCCATGTGTGCTCAGTCCTCAACCAGCACTCATTCCAAGGTACTTATATGAAATCAGCAGTATTAGGTTGTAAGGTGCAGATGTTGAATCCTGACTGTAAGTCACAATCCAATACGCCAACTGCTCTTTAAATGGCGAGGGCTCATTAAAAAAAAAAGCAGCAAAACAATATCAATCATCATGTAACAGGTCATTTGCAGAACGTCGCTCTCATCATGGTGTGTGCCTAAAAGGAACTCGGTCTCCTGTCAGCTCTAACATCTCGTGCGCTTTCCTACCCAACATATCACTTATATCCTGTACCCATCTACATGCTGGTCGGCCCCTGCCCCTCTGTCCTGACACAATGCCTACTGCTATTATTCTTTCCAATTTGCCGCTTGAAATGGCCAACATATTTCAGCTTCCGAGACAAGATGCTGTTTACTAGTCAATCTCCCTTGACGTTTAATCTTTTAGGATGCCAGTATTTCTTTCCTTCTTTGTCCATGGTATTCTGCGATGCTCATAGCTCTGATATATCCGTGTCTTTAAGTGATAGCCGTATACTGGCAAGAAAAATTATGTATACTGATGTGACAATAAGAAAAAGAAAAAAAAATTATCTTTATCTTTAAAATTCAACAAATAAAGCGGACCAAAAAACAATGAAAAAAAAATTAACAATACAACATCAAAAACAAAAGCTACTGATAAATAAGTACATGTAACGGTTGAGGAAAGTTTGTCAACGATACCAGATGATGATGATGATGATGCCCCAGCACTTCCTGCCGGTTTGTTAATCACTTTTAGTTCGGTAAAGGGGGGAAAAAAGGAATGATTACACATTAGCTTCGACTATGATTACATTTTTCTGTTCAAACTGTTTTGATTAAAACAGCATCTGAAAATGTTTGTGAAACAAAACTGTATTGTACTGTTTGAATGCTTATTGTAAGTGTAACCATTTTTTAAACAAATGAGTGAAGATTGTGTAATTTAAAAGGGAATCAAAACCAGTCAAGAGAAAAGATCCACATTCTTCCATAGCAGGCTATTTGCTCGACTCCAAGCAAGTGACTGAAACCACATTTGTGCCTCTTGGTTATTGATCTAATGTTCAACAGGTGTATTTTGAAGTTTGCAGAAGCGGTTAATATTAGGAAAGGTAATCTTGCCTTATGTAAAGAAAGAGGTAATGTGGTTAGGTAATATGGTTAGGTAATGTGGTTAGGTAATATGGTTAGGTAATGTGGTTAATCTAAGACTTCTGGTGTGAGAATTACAGTACAATATCATCATCACACAGCAGGTTCTTTGCAGAACATCGCTGATATCATGGTCTGAATGAAAGAAACTTGGTCTCTCACCGGTTCTTCCGACTCGTGCTCTTTCATACCCAAGGAGTCACTTATATTCTGTGCCCATCTTCATGCTAGTCAGCACCTGCTCCTCTTTCCTGGCACACTGTCTTCTACTATTTTATTTTCCAATCCACCCTGGCATTTGATGGGGTCAAAATATTTTAGCTTCAGAGACAAGATCCTGTTTATTAGCCAATCATTCTTGAGGGTCAGATCTTCTAGGATGTCAGCATTTCACCTCGTCTTTGTCCACGGTATTCTGAGAATCTTTCTATAGCATTACAGCTCAAAGGCCGCCATTGCCTTCTTTAGGGACTGGGAGAAAGCAGAGTAACTAGGGACTATGTTATTTGTCTATATCGATTGATATGCTTTACACAGATTCTGATTATCTGTTGATACAACTCTGCAGTAATGCATATGACAAGATACAGCACTATATGTCAGGCAGTCAACTGTGCAGTGCATTGTTTGTGTCTTAAAAGAATAATATGGAGGACTAGGCATGGCAGAATGTTTAGCCTCAAAGTTATTTTTGCTTCTGACAGTGCTTTACATGGGAGCTGGTGAAATACCTTATGTAATAATTTTACATGTGTATAGTTGTGTGTATGAACTACTACTACCATGAATGAGAAACATCATTTCTGGTGGCGGCTGTTGGCTTTGGCATCTCTAGCAACTGCCTTATGTATTTCTTGCATTTGTGGATTTTGCCGGGGCAAATTGGTTGTTTTTCAAAGGTGACAATGAGGGACATTTCATTTGAATTTCACTGGCTTAGGACCTAGCAAATATGGAGTGATCCGACCACAGTGAAGCTGAAACCTCAACTAAGACTTTTGTTTGTGTCTTCAATATTTAAATTCTTTCTATGTTACAAATATTGAAACTGACACAAACCAATATCATGTTATAACAGTGCATGAATGTTGGATACCATCTTATATGATAGAATTTGATGTTTGTATAACTCCTAAAATTACAACTTTATTGTCAGTATAAGCAACTCTAATGTTATAAAACTTGATGTTAATCAGTTGGTATATTAACTCTTTTGGTCACAAGTAACGCATCATATGTAATAAGCTCTTCTGTAAATCCCTGACAATGTCATGTTTTCTTGTACTTTAGACATCTAGCCTGAACACACTTACAAAATCTGGCTTCCCACATATTCAGTATTTTTTAAGCTGCTATTTGGCAGCTGCTATAAAACCTTTCGAAACTGAAATAATCAATGTTGTATGAATCTTTGCAGCAAAAATTAGCATGTGTACAAATCCTAGACAATTTTACTAAAGTGGAATTGAAGGCTACTCACCTCCTGGGATGTGAACCCGAGCAACATTACTCCAAGGGCTGTATGACAACACCCCGTACGAGCGCAGATATATATCATAAGTTCCTGCAGGCATGTCGTACATTGTAGCACTGTTTGTAGTGTTGCCCATGATCCTGTTTCCATAATACTGCCACTTGCCGTCATGTTGATACTCAATCTTATATCTGCACAATCAAAGGGTAAATCAATCTTCTATATCTACACAATCAAAGGGTAAATTAATCTTCGATATCTGCACAATCAAAGGGTAAATCAATCTTCTATATCTGCACAATCAAAGGGTAAATCAATCTTCTATATCTGCACAATCAAAGGGTAAATTAATCTTCTATATCTGCACAATCAAAGGGTAAATCAATCTTCTATATCTGCACAATCAAAGGGTAAATCAATCTTCTATATCTGCACAATCAAAGGGTAAATCAATCTTCTATATCTGCACAATCAAAGGGTAAATCAATCTTCTATATCTGCACAATCAAAGGGTAAATTAATATTCTATATCTGCACAATCAAAGGGTAAATCAATCTTCTATATCTGCACAATCAAAGAGTAAATCAATCTTCTATATCTGGACAATCAAAGGGTAAATTAATCTTCTATATCTACACAATCAAAGGGTAAATTAATCTTCGATATCTGCACAATCAAAGGGTAAATCAATCTTCTATATCTGCACAATCAAAGGGTAAATCAATCTTCTATATCTGCACAATCAAAGGGTAAATTAATCTTCTATATCTGCACAATCAAAGGGTAAATCAATCTTCTATATCTGCACAATCAAAGGGTAAATCAATCTTCTATATCTGCACAATCAAAGGGTAAATCAATCTTCTATATCTGCACAATCAAAGGGTAAATCAATCTTCTATATCTGCACAATCAAAGGGTAAATTAATCTTCTATATCTGCACAATCAAAGGGTAAATTAATCTTCTATATCTGCACAATCAAAGAGTAAATCAATCTTCTATATCTGCACAATCAAAGAGTAAATCAATCTTCTATATCTGGACAATCAAAGGGTAAATTAATCTTCTATATCTACACAATCAAAGGGTAAATTAATCTTCGATATCTGCACAATCAAAGGGTAAATCAATCTTCTATATCTGCACAATCAAAGGGTAAATCAATCTTCTATATCTGCACAATCAAAGGGTAAATTAATCTTCTATATCTGCACAATCAAAGGGTAAATCAATCTTCTATATCTGCACAATCAAAGGGTAAATCAATCTTCTATATCTGCACAATCAAAGGGTAAATCAATCTTCTATATCTGCACAATCAAAGGGTAAATCAATCTTCTATATCTGCACAATCAAAGGGTAAATTAATCTTCTATATCTGCACAATCAAAGGGTAAATTAATCTTCTATATCTGCACAATCAAAGAGTAAATCAATCTTCTATATCTGCACAATCAAAGAGTAAATCAATCTTCTATATCTGGACAATCAAAGGGTAAATTAATCTTCTATATCTACACAATCAAAGGGTAAATTAATCTTCGATATCTGCACAATCAAAGGGTAAATCAATCTTCTATATCTGCACAATCAAAGGGTAAATCAATCTTCTATATCTGCACAATCAAAGGGTAAATTAATCTTCTATATCTGCACAATCAAAGGGTAAATCAATCTTCTATATCTGCACAACCAAAGAGTATATCAATTTGGTATACATGGATAATCATAGTATAAATCAGGGATGAGGCATGGATGTGTGCTATCTCCTCTCTTATTTACTATATACATAGACAGAACATTTGAAGAAAAAAAAAAAAGCCAGCTTTAAAGCATTCAACCCAGAAAATCAGGAACTTTACCAAGGAAGAATAAGATCCACACACAATAAACAAGCTACTATTTGCAGACACAGACAGTCAGTGCCTTATCTATAATGAAGGAAGTAGACTGCAAGAACATTTAAATAAGCTAAGTTCCACATGCAGATGATACAACATGAAAACAAATACTGCTAAAACTGAAGTAATGCAGGTAATCGGCAGAATTCCTAGTCCGCTATAACCGGGTTGAACGGTACTTGTCTGAAGTGAGTTAAAGAATTTAAATATCTAGGAAGTATATTCTCTGGGGATGGAAGAAAAGACAGGAAAACAGAAACAAGATACCAATGAGCCAGTGCACATTTATACCAAGTGACACCTTATTAGGATAAGAAACAGGTTATACACAGCAAAATGATGTTCTGTTCATTTCTGTAAGGCTGTTTTTAATGCCATCACTCCATCTCTTCCGAGGTCTTCCACTCACTCTATACCCGTTGTAATGTTTTAGTATGGCAGATAGTACCAGGGCATTCTTGTTAGGTTTAGAATCAACCCTGAGAACAACCGCCAACTTAACCCTCTAAGACAAGGTAAGAATGATACTATTAGACAGACTGTAGAAACAACACAATGCAGCAGCAGAAGATCGAATGGTTTGGTCATCTAGTAAGAATGCAGCCAGAACAACTACCAATGCAGGTCCTACACATGAAAAGATCAAAAGTAAAACCAAGAGGCAACCATCAGAGATATGGATTGATGACATTAAGAGCTTCTACATCAACCTGGATGCAATGGATTGCAAACTGTTCCTCCCCACAACGCTTAATGGCAGAAGTGGAAATTGATGATGATGGTGATAGTATAAGTGAATTTATTGATACATTTGGAACATCATAGTATTAATCAATTTTCTATATCTGGACGGATGGAAATTTGATCCTTCGAATCTATGACTGGCTGAAAACGTGAAAAAAAAAAAAAAAGATTTAGAAGAAACAAAGTAGTTTAAAATTTGGTACTGATTGTAATTCTAATGGTCAGGTATAAAATGACTTTTGGAAATACTCACGAAAATATTGGCACAGGAGACGAAGGTGGTGTTCTCCAAGTCAAATAGATATTTCTGTCTTTGACTCGAGCAGCCAGGTCTAAAGGCGCCGCTGGTTCAGGACCTGAAAATAAAGCAACAAGTGGTCAGAGTTTTTGATGGGAAAGGAAATGCCAAAACTGTTGTTATCCTTCCAGGCAACACATTTTGATAAATATTCTGTTCTTTCAATTCTAACCAGGGTTTCTGCCACAGCTGCAAGAAATTGTTGTTTTTAATTGAATGAAATTAAGGATTAGGAATTATTTTTCTTCTTTGCATTCACTAGCTGTAAACTCCAGTAGAAAGTTCTGGTTGTTCGTCCACTTCTGGACTTTAGTCTGGTTTCAGTCGATTTTACAGATTTGACTTATGTGTATGCAGATTGTTGGCTCCTCACGTCTCAGGCAGATGTTCGTCTTCGAAGAAAGTTCCCCAGTTAATCAACTCTTACGACATGGTTGTTGGGGAGGCAGTGGGTCTATTCTTGTTTTCCCTGAAAATGAGGTCCCAAAACCCACATGGGAAAGATAACAAAATGAAAAGTAACTAAGGGATCTAAAAAAAAAAAACTCGCAAGCTTAAAAAAAAAACAGTTGGGAAATAACAGTCTAGAACATTTGAGGGTGGAACAATCTCTAAACCAATGGTTGTTTCTGTCTTCATCTATTTTCTTCTTCTGCCAAATACAGGTATTTGCAGACAGCAGGAGCCTTTCTTTTCAGTGGTGAAACGTCACAAGCATACCTTAGACATAATTGCAAGGACTGTACTTCAAGGAATATGTAGGGGGGGGGGGGGAGAGGTGGGGGTTAATTGGGGGGAAAAGGAGGACAAAAAAAGAATCTGGAATGACAATGTCAAGAAATGGACAGGACTACGTTATCATCCACTTATTTATCAAACAGAAGACATGATAAGATGGCGGGTTTTGTGTGTTAGTGCTTCCATCCATACACCTCCACAACCCTAACAGGTCAACGGTTGTGTTATGATGTAAATTACATTTGAGCACTGGCCAAAACCTCTTATTGGCTGATAGTGTGTGTACTTTGATCTCATTCCAGAGCCCGAGTGCTGCGTGCGCATCTGTTTTCCATATCTAGCTCATTTGTATGCTTAGAGTTGCTTTGTCATCTTTCAGGTAGATCCGCTCAGGCTTCTAAAAAAAAAAGATCCTATCTATGCTGCCAAGGCCCCTAATCCATTTCAAGAATGAACAGGAAGAGATAAGTCTCGACCAGCAACAGCCCTAGTCCTGACGCAGCAGCACACATAGTGGTGCCCCTATTCATCCCTCTTTGCTTTTCAACTGGGACAATGAAAATCCCTTAAACCAACTTCTCTTGTGGAGATATCACTTGAGTATCTGAAGGAAAATGGGCTACCTTATTCTTCTTCTTCTATTTTTTATTATCACGACTATTGTTTACTGTAGTTAGAAATGTGCATATTCCAGTGCCTGTATTGAATATTTTGATGCCATTGATAATGTTTGCTATTACTTGATGTATGAATAAAATGATGTATGAAAAGAGGTAGACAAGAAGGGCAGAATGTTATACAGGCCTGTGTGCCTAATTATCAGCCCATTGAAAATAAAGTTACTTCTTCACATTCACCAGCTGTAAATGTAAACTTTCTGTTACTTGATTAATTAAATGATGGTAGAAGGTTCTAATTGTTCCAACACTTTCAGACTTTAGTCTTGTTCCATAACCTGAGATTTGCATGCACATCTGTGTTACACATTTGGCTTATTTGTATGCAGACTGCTGCTTCCTCACCTCTCAGGTACATGCACTCCAACTTTGAAGGAAAGACCCCTAATTAGTCGACTCTTAGGACATGCTTGTTTAGGAAGGCAGTGGGTCTGTTCTCTCCTCCACCTGCTCAGTTTGTTCCCCTCCCCCCACAATGAGGCCACAGAAGCCACACAGGGAGACCACCTACCTACAAACATGCCTAGTGTGCAGAGAACAATGCTCCTAGTAACAGTAGTTGTGTACTTTCTTTCCTATTCAGTGTCCACGTGTGGTACTTACCGTGTTTGATGGTGATCTCCGGGTGATAGGGAAAACCATCTTTGTCTGTTGGCAAGGCATTCACAGCATCAGGGGAGTAACCTGCAGGAGACAGAGGGAGAGGCAGCAATGATAACATGCTGTCCCAATACGGTATCAACTTCATGGCTACACCACAAACCAGCTATAGTGGTTCAGATTTCTGAGGTGGACTAAAGCCACCTGTTTACTTCTGGAGGTGCAATGATTGTCAGTGAAAGGGGCAGCAGTCTGCAACTGATTCAGTAAAGTAAGTAAAGATCCCTTTTTACGCCTTTTAGGTACATGGGGCATATGGGAAGAGCACCCATATTTTTACAGACCAATCAGCACTAGGTGGGTAATGTGGTCAGTATTACGCCGGCTGTCTTTACTTTCCCAGGACATCCATCCTGGTACCCATTTTAGGCTGGGTTGACCTGCGACGCCCTATACCAAGATAAAAATCCACGCAGCCAGCAGTGGGTTTCGATCAACGTATGTTGGAATTACATGTCAGACTCGCAACGCCTTAGACACGGATGCCGCTGCAACTGATTCAGGCACTGACAAAAAAAAGTCTGCACCTGCTAATACTAGCTGTGGCAGAAGTGTTCCTGTATTTGAAGGTACAGTACACTGTGGTGGGTAGTCAGTTTGAATACAGGTCCCAGAAGCCTTGTTTAACCATTAGACAAAACCCAGGGTGGGTCTTTAAAATAACAACAACAAAACAGAAAAATTGCATCATATGTTGGGATGGACCATGCTAAGGCCTTAACTATTTCGATGATGATGATGATGATGATGGCATTCAATAACACCAGGACATCACACTGAGCAATAAACACCCAGTGACACAAAGTGCCACCATTCAGATGAGCATAATCCAAAACCCTGTTCAACCCCTTTGGCTGGGTTATATTAGGGCCCTTGGCAACAGCCAGGGTGGGGCTTTAAAACAAAAATAATTGCATCCCACATTGAATCGCAGTATCACCTGAACATGAACCTTTCTGAAACTGAATCATTGTTTTTGTTGCACATTTGTCACATTTATCGTTTGAGGCTTAACCACTACCTGTATATATATATATATATATATATACACACACATATACATACATAAACACACGTACTCAAAGGTCCCTTTTCCAGAAAAAAAAGTCTGGTCCATTATATGCATAAATACATACATATGCAGACATGAAAATATATTTTTCACAGATGACATTTATTATGTCATGCATGTCCTAAATGTTACTCTTTAATTAAAAAAAAAAAATAATGAGTCGCCTGCCAGGAAATAACTATTTATGTTTTAAAAACAAACAATCATAGATAACGTGGCTTCACATCAGAGTTTATCTCCCCTCTTGATGCCCACGAGTTGACTGAAAACAAAGACGTCATCATTAGTCAAAACTAGGGCTGTACCGGATATTCGCTTCGGGGCCGAATAGTGGACCCTATTGACTATTCGGTTTCGGCCGAATAATTGCCGTCGGGCCGAATACGAATAGTAGTTACCTTACACCCGCTTCTGCATACACTGCTTTAATACTGACAACATGGAACGATTGGTTTTGTTGAAAGCTAATGCAGCTTTCCTGCATTAACTAAGCTGTCGGTGACAATTTCCAAGTTTAGTTACTTGTTATACTTAGGATTCTTTTATTCCTAGTTATTAGTTATCACAGACTGACTGAAGGATGCAAAACAAAATGTTTTTAAATGTTTACTATTCTATACAAATGCTAACTAGACAAGGAAAGAATATAAACTCCGGCCATATCCAAGTCGATAATATGAAAATCAAACGAACGGAAACATATAATTACTTGGGTGTAAACTTCAACTGCTCCAACATGCTGAGAGAAGAAATACAATCTTGAATACAATCTAGAAATAAAGTATACTATGCCCTTCAACATCTGCTAAAGTCAAAGTGTCTGTCTCGCAACACCAAGATAAAAAAAATATAAAACGTTGATAAGACCAGTCGTTTTATATGGCTCTATAACTTGAAGTAGAAATAAAAAAGATGAGGCCTTATTACAGGTTTTCGAAAACAGTCTTACGACAAATCTTTGGACCCATCAAAGATGCTAACAGCGGGGAATGGAGAGTGAGAAGCAACAAAGTAACACATAATCTGTTTAAATCTCCATTGATCGCTGGCATCATGAGAGCTAACAGACTAAAATGGTTGGGTCATATTTGAAAAATGTCAGATGACAGAGAAGTAAAACTATACAACTGAGAGAGGAATGGGCGTAGACCACGAGGCAGACAAAAAAAAAGAATATCGAGAGATAATGTCCAGCCAGACCTGCAAACAACTTGTGTCACAAATTGTGAAGATAAGGCCAGCCAGAGAGATGAATGGAGACGAGTGATATCTGCAGCATTAAGCCTCAAGGGCTCAGAATACTAAAGAAGAAGATGACTACTCTGTGCTACTTTATGTTAAGTAAAAGCTTAGCGTACATTTGACATTATGAATGTTTTTTTTTTTTATAGATACATTTTATACACTATACACTATTCGTATTCGTATTCGGCCGAATAGTTGGTCTCGTTATTCGTATTCGGCCGAATAGTGAAAATCACTATTCGGTACAGCCCTAGTCAAAATGAATACTTCCAGGAAACTACACTAATGTAGCAGACATGAGAACTACCATGTCAGAATACTGAAGAAAGGACTTTATGATTCACAGACAAAAACAAACGATTCACATTTATGACTCTGAAATATCAGCATATATATATATATCCTGCTGGTTCTTTTCCACATTTTCTCCCTGTTTGAAAAATATTTCATGTGAATTGTTCACCACAAGTTTTGACTAATTTCTGAAGAAGCATATCTCATTCAGTTATTGCTCATCTTTGATTTCCTGAACTGTGTGTCTTGCCATTATTTGTTTAAACATGTGGGTTGATTGTGACAATTAAGTTTCCCAGGTAACTATTCATTTAAAAAAAAAAAAATTATTTTTAGATAAAGACGATGTAAATATTTATTTGTATCCGCACTTGCATCTCTCAGTTTTCTAGCGAGCTAACTAAAATATTTTTGCTTGCAAACAGTTTGCGTCAAAAGGTCAGATACTGCAGCCTAGCTGTAGACCACGGCACAAAGCAAAGTGCTGACCACAGTTTAAAGGGTGAAGGAGGAGAAGAAGAAGAAGCAGCAGTCAGTGATAAGCAAAATTCTTGTCTCTATGCCTTGCGTCTGGAGAAAGGAGAACTACAGAAATGTTTGTTTATTTCTGATATCAAGGTAGCTTCAGTGTATCTCTTATCCCAAGCTGGAGTCGCCATGGTATGGTGGCTAGATGATCGCCTACAGATCTGATGGATGTGAGTTCAAAGCTAGATGGTGCCGGACTTTTTTCAAAAAGTGACCTTGGCTCCCAGGTCGACACAGCCATAAATGGGTACCAGGTGAAAAGTCCTGGGAAGAAAAGGTGGCCGGTGTGATGCTGACCACAACCCACCAAGTGCCGATTGGTCTATAAAACAATAAGTCAAGGCCTATGTGCCCAATACACCCAAAGGCCTGGAAAGGGGTCCTTATACCAGGCCACTGTTAGGTTATCTCTAATACCAAGGCATTTTTTAGATAATAGGTTATATCGGTACTTAATTTATAACTTACCCCTGACGTCACGGGAGACATTCCCAATAAATTCTAGGGTGTTCAGGTTGCAGTTTCTTGCGATTTCTCTACAGTAAAGTTTAGGGTTAGGGTTAGGATTAGAAGACACTAGATGAACACTCTAAAAAAGCATCACACAACAGCACACTTGCACCCCTTGAAATAATGGACTGTCAGGTCAGCTGTGGATTTCCCACGGGGATTTCCTGTTTGGGGTACGTTATAAATTAAGAACGTTATATCTAATGCCAAGGTAATGTTTAGGTAATAGGTTATCTCTAATGCCAAGGTAATGTTTAGGTAATAGGTTATCTCTAATGCCAAGGTAATGTTTAGGTAATAGGTTATCTCTAATGCCAAGGTAATTTTTAGGTAATAGGTTATCTCTAATGCCAAGGTAATGTTTAGGTAATAGGTTATCTCTAATGCCAAGGTAATGTTTAGGTAATAGGTTATCTCTAATGCCAAGGTAATGTTTAGGTAATAGGTTATCTCTAATGCCAAGGTAATTTTTAGGTAATAGGTTATCTCTAATGCCAAGGTTATGTTTAGGTAATAGGTTATCTCTAATGCCAAGGTAATGTTTAGGTAATAGGTTATCTCTAATGCCAAGGTAATGTTTAGGTAATAGGTTATCTCTAATGCCAAGGTAATGTTTAGGTAATAGGTTATCTCTAATGCCAAGGCATGTTTTAGGTAATAGGTTATCTCTAATGCCAAGGTAATGTTTAGGTAATAGGTTATCTCTAATGCCAAGGTAATGTTTAGGTAATAGGTTATCTCTAATGCCAGGGTAATGTTTAGGTAATAGGTTATCTCTAATGCCAAGGTAATGTTTAGGTAACAGGTTATCTCTAATGCCAGGGCATTAGGTAATCTCTTATACCAAGGCCTAGAATAAAGCCACTGTTAAAATCAGATCAACCTTCCTCAGAAATCAAGCCTTTACTTTGATGTGTAAATAAAATCTGTATACTCTGAGGCAGAAACACAATCTGTATAGGCTGACAAAAATGTCAACAGAGTTGGAAAAAACAAACAGATGAAGGGAAAAATAACTAAAACAGTGACCGGCTCAAATAAAAGGAGGGAGGGATCACTGAGAAAGTGAGTGATTTAAATAAAATAGAGGGAGATATCACTGAGACAGTGACTGACTCAAATGAATAGAGGGAGATGTCATTGAAACAGTACTTGTCTCAATAAATAGGGGAAGAAAACACTTGACTCAAATAAATGGAGGGAGAAATCACTAAAAAAAAAAGTGAGTGATTTAAATAAAACAGAGGGAGAGATAAGTGAGAAAATCACTGACTGAAAAAAAAATAGAGGAAAGGATCACAGAGGTTGTAACAAATTCAAATAAACATAGGGAAAGATAACTTAGGAAGTGAGTAATTTAAATAAAATAGAGGGA